ATATAATCAACACTTAAATAAGACTTCTGTTACACCTGGAGTAAATCCACAATCTATACCTGCGGGATACAAAGGTTAAGTATCAGAGATTGACACCTAACAAAAGAAATCAGTAATCTACGTATCGAATCATCTACATCTTCCAAATCTTAAAGCTCAAGTCACCTGTCCAGTGTGCCCTAAACTCTTTGCTGCTCAGGTCATCTGCTACCTGCACCTTCCGCCGTACACACTCTTACCTTTCCTCATGAATCTTCCCTCGTGGTGGCTGAACAGGTCATCTGGAACCTGCTCGTAGTTGGCCTTAGGGATCTTCTTCATGTTGTTGAAGGTACTGTGTTTCACCACGTTGGCCAGCTGCTCAGGATTCAGCTCTTTCTCCAGGAACACAGAGATCCTCTGCACTGCTGAATGCAGGTCCTGGACCAACATGAAAGGAAATGCACTTTTTTGTATCTGATCCTTCTAAACAAAAGCCTACAACATGTGTAATGATTGTTGCTTATAACGATTGATGCTTATGGACATGATTCAATGATCTCAGGTCCTACTTGAATCATTTCTTCATAAGTGATGAACAACATGTTCATATCATCCATATGCGAGTACCAAGTCTTAACGTGCTCAAACCAGCTGCACCCAAACACTGCAATGAATAATGCACACAGTTACCACCACAATGCAGACATGCATCATGAGCTGCTCACAAAATACCACAGGCAACATTCTCTGACATTATTTTGCAACTGAAGACAACTCACCATCTCCTCTCATGAATTTCTCGAAGAAGTCATCGAAATCCTTCGGGGTTTCCAACATGTTTGCGAGCTTATGGAAGTAGAAGTAAGACACAAGGACGTCTTTGGGATTTCTTGCCACGTAGATCACCTTCAACAGGAACAATTACTTAAATAATAAAAATAACTGTAATAAAAAAGAGTGTCCCATACCACATTGTAGTGTGTCAGTACATATTTGTATAGTGTATAAACAGGGGTTAAATATCCGAGATGCAAGATTCAAGGCTTTATTTTCATGTGCAAAGTAGCTACAGTGTATTGGCAATGAACAACTTAAGTCACAGGCTCCTCCTACATTGCAACATGAATATATATAGGACATAAAATAAATTAAACCAATAAAAATAATGAAATAAATAACAGAATATAAATTGTTGCAAGATGTGCAAGTAAATAAAATAAAAAATAAATAATGCAAGAAGAGTCTATATACACGTAAATGGAACATGATATATATATATAAATAAATAGCAAGATGCAAACAGATGAATGTTTATGGAGGCACTTGTTTAATGGTCTTATGGCCTGTGGAATGAAACTGTCTCAGTTGCGTCTTGTTATGTCGGGGAACATAAAAAAGACAGTTTTCTAATAGTTACATTAAATTGTACATTTACATCTTATTTTGCAACATACACACACCTATTCAAATATCTAAATATTTCCGTTACTTTAAAAATAAATGTTAAATTACCCGTCCCTTGCAATCATTCCAAAGAAAAGTGAGAAGAAACGATATGTGTGAGAACACATTATCCTGCACGATGATGGCTAAAATGATATTAATGTTTTACCTTAATTAATATTGAGATCATGATCATATATCATGATTATTAACCGGTGTAAGTGCAAGGTTAGTTGAAAGCAATAATATTAAGTTGCATCTAATATTTCTTATTTAAACTTAATATTATTGCTTCTAACTAACCTTATACAGTTATGTAAAATCCGTCGACATAATACATTCAATTTAAGTTGGCTTGGCAACTGGAAGGTCACCAGTTCAAGTCCCGGCAAGACCAAGTGCTACCGAGGTGTCCCTGAGCAAGGCACCGTTCCCTACAATGCTCCCCGGGCTGATGGGGCTCATAGCCATGGGAAGGCAACCCATCTAGGAGAAGGACACTCTGAACTAAAAACCAGGACTGAGAGGAGTTGCGCCCCCCAGTCCTTAATCAGCATAGTAAAGCCAACCATGAATAACAAAGTCATCCCAAATCCTATACGGAGAACCGGGATGACTGGAAGCGACGATGGAGGGCTCGTCTGAGGACGACCTAGAGAGCACGTATTTGAATTGCATTTGTTTGTAACCATATACATTGTTTAAGGTATTAGAGGCTGATGGGGTACGAGCGTTGGCCTATGTGAACCCCGGACAGCCCAGGCCCAATTGACCCCCTGCTTATAAATACTAAATATGGGGACATAAAGATTTGTGTAACACATGTGAGAGAGCTGACCTTGCCCTTCTTCTGGCTCAGAGCGGAAGGCATGAACTGGTACTGCAGGTGGGTGACCCTCATCCTGGGGGAGGGCGCCGTGATGAACGTCTGCCTGCTGCCATTCACCTCAATCCAGGGGATGAGATCAGCGTTGGAGGAGCTGCTGAGCCCGCTGATGGCTGCCAGGTCTCCCTTTGCTTCGAGGAGCAGCAAGATCTGCTGCATCCAGATGGTCCCTGACACACACATCGCACAGAGAGTGTGAGCTCTGTCCAGGGACTGTTTTCAGAGTACACTCTGCTCTAACTGATCATTTGACACCCAAATCTATTCGCAGCACACAAAAAGACGGAGATTCATGTGTACATACCAGTGGTGTAAAGTAACTAAGTAGATTTACTCAAGGACTGCACATTAGTACAATTTTGAGGGACTTGTACTTAACTTGACTTTTTAGATTTTATGCTACTGTGTACATCTACTCCAATACAATTCAGAGGGAAATGGTGTACTTTTACTCCACTACATTTATGTAATACCTTTAGTTACTTTGCTGATTTGGATTAATGATGTGAAATATAATCAACTCTTAAATCAAATTAAAGTAAAACAAAAATGAAAAGCACTGATAGAAAACTATTTTAAGAAAACTATAATAACATAAAAAAATATTAAAAAATATAGCAGTATTTACATTGAATAATAATGAAATCAGACTTTAGTTAGACCTGGAGTAAATTCACAAGCTACCCTGCAGTATACAAAGTCATTACAACTAGCTGCACCCTTACCAGCTTTGAGAACACTTTAATGATCAATCATTATAAAACATATATATTATTCTGAAATCTGCATAATGAGTAATTTTACTTTTGGTACTTTAAGTATATTTTAATGCTAATACTTCTCTAATTTCACTAAGCACACTGACTTGAGGTGACCCCCTCTCTTCAGGACACACACCCCTCTCACCTGACTTTGGGTATGTGACCACAAACACATCGGAGTCTCTGATCTCCAGGTCTTGGATCTGGTCCACATCATCTGGATCATGAGTGCCGTTGATCAGAGTGAAGCCTCTGTGTGGCACTAGCTCATACTCACAAGTCTCTACTGCCATCATAGCTATAAAGCAAGACAAAAAATACGTGTTCAGCTCCCTTTCTTATTTGAAATGTCTAAAAACAGCAGTTCTTTTTGATTTGATGCTCCATGGATACATATTAACTCTTTCATTTATACTCTCCTATTTAGCTTTGATTTGATCATTCCTGACTTTGATTACATCTGCAGAAGAAGATGCTCTACCAATAAAAAAATACTGTTGAGAAAATCTATATTTTAAAGTGGCTCCCAAGGGCCCCATAGAATCAGTGAAAGGCTAAGAAGCAATGCACAGAAAGTGATCCACATGTAGCATACCTGCTCTGCTGCCGATGCTCCAGTGTCTGCAAACACCAGGAAATGCGTCTCATTAACAAGCTGTCCTGAAACCTGACCCGATGCAACCCCCTCCTTCACACTGGGAGGAACAGAGAGCTTCCCCTTCTCCTTCTCCCCCCCTGTGTGGGGAACAGCACATTCTAGAGCCGTCCCACAGCAATAAACAGAAACAGAACAATCCTCAAGCAGCTTGCGCAACGTCAAAACAAGGTTCTGTTGTTACAGCACTGGTGATCCAAGTGACACTAAATCAAACAGTGTGGAGGCTGTACCTTCAGTAAGGGGGAGGGACGGGAAGTGATACCTAACCAGAAAATAACTCTATCAACTGTTCTGTTGAGTCCACTGGTTTAATGACCAATGCATACTGTAAGATCACAGAAGCTGAGGTGTCCTGTATCCTAGTTACCTGTACAAAATGTAATTAGTAACCTAATCAGAGGGTCAAAATATAAAGGTATTGTCACCAGATTACTTTTCATTACCTCAGTATCAAATGCAATGCAAACAATAGAAAATAAATATCAATAAGATGTTTTTACGTAAGTAAAGTTTTTATGTAAGACAACAGAACAATATGACCTTAGAAAAGAAAAAAACAAGATATTTAGTATGTAAAATGTGTCCTCTGTGTGGACACACACACAACTAAGGGCTAAGTGCCTTACTCAAGGGCACACTAGTGGTGGTGTTCCTGGTGGGATTTGAACTCACAACCTTCCGATCTTCAGCCCACCTCACTATCCATTAGACCACCACTACTACTCAATATGCATTTTTTAAAATCTTTTACTAACATTGTAATCTTGCTTTTCATTTTTAGAAATATAATAGTGATCTGATAACACCTTTAATTTAATGCAACTGTAAGAGAATTCGGTTCCCTTGTTTTTATATCCTGGTTTCATTACATCTAATCTGTTACTCTCCAAGCCTGTGTCCTTAGTACCAATGTAATCCTGCTAATAATCCCCAATTTTCGGAAATATAATTAATCTGATTACGTATTTTTTATATAACTGTAAGGGAATACAGTTACCTTTTTTTGTATCCTGTCCTCGGTGGAGTGGATTGGTCGTTACACTTTTTACTTTCATTCGATGTGTGTAAGTGTAATCTAAGAATGGAGTGACAAGACTCATTAAACGTATCAGCTTCCCCTCGAGGTTAACCTTTGACCTTATTAAACTGTGATCATTTCCTAGAAGTGCTTTCGATTTGGGATGTGTCAGCTGCTACTCGATAAACAGGACAGTAAGCCTCTCACACGTTCACTGTGAATAACTGAACAGCATGGAGAACAGAGTTTTTTCAAAACAAGGTTTATTAGAAAAACAACCACAATAAATAGTTCCTGAAGTGAGAAATCACATGTTTATTCACAGTAAAAACAAAAACAAGAGATAAAGTGTCTTCCTGTCATGGGATCCTTTCTGCACATAATGTTCTGGAGCTCACGATGCGCCTCTGCGAAGAGATCAACAGACAGAGATCAACACACTGAGATACACACACACACACACACACACTTGTTTAGATTCAAATGCCAATTCTTGTTGACAGCAGCAATCATGATTGTTGGATTACCAAAAGACAATGGCCTGGGGGACTGGGGCAGTTTACTAAACATCCTTATGTGTATACAGCGTGTAGTTATAAAGTCTTAGTCTCAAGGCGATGTGATCACACACACTCTCTCACGTACACAGAGGCCCTTTCTCATGTCCCAGTTTGAACTTCCTCGACTCCTCCCCTCACATCTCAGACGGCCATGAGAAGGAAGGGGAGTTGGGGAATGAAATTACGGGCCAAAAGACACACACACACACACACACACACACACACACACACACACACACACACACACACACACACACACACACACACACACACACACACACACACACACACACACACACACACACACACACACACACACACACACACACACACACACACACACACACACACACACACACACCACACACACACACACACACACACACACCACACACACACACACACACACACACACACACACACACACACACACACACACACACACACACACACACACACACACACACACACACACACACACACACACACACACACACACGTCCCAGTTTGAACCTCCTCGACCCCTCCCCTCACATCTCAGATGGCCATGAGAAGGAAGGGGAGTTGGGGAAGTAACTCGAGGAGTCGAGGCCACGGGTTGATATGAGAATTCCTTTCCTCCGAGTGGTCATTTAAAAAGTATGACGGGAGGCACAGCTGCAACAGCTTTCCATTGTTTTAATACCGCTTTATTTCCAACTTACTTTTAATTTAATTCACAACGTGGCTTTTTTAGCAATATCAGGCTACAGGAGCAGGCAGGCATCATGATGTGACTGATTCAACTTTGGAATATTTATACAAACTATTTCATTATCAAACAATTAATAAGAGCTGTCATATAAAGTAGCACTATCGTATCGAATTTCCCTCACCTCTCTCTAGGGATCGCTACCATGGGTAATTGAATTATGGGGCAAAAGTTGTATTTAGAATCATAAAAAGCAAGCAGGGAAAACTGTACACATATATACACACACACCCCCCCCCCCCCCCCCCCATCAACGCCCCAACATCAGACCCGAATCAGAAATTATAGCTAAAATATAGAATATATTATATAGTCTAACATTTTATTATGCAAGGCACCACACATATTTGTATAAAATACAAAATAGCACATTATGATGCGCTACACATATGGTGAAATAGAGAATATACACTCATATCTCCTCCCTTGAGCCTCCTCTATGAGCATTTAGAGAGTTGGGGTTTTACTTAAAGATGATGCACTGAGATAGATTTCACAAGCGGAGGAACGAGAAGTGGAAACATTTAGAATTTAGCTAATGACAGAAACACACACACACCTGTTTCTCCTCTGCAGACAGCCCCCCCTGCACTGCCACCAGCTGGTACTGTGTGTGCTTCAGGCTGCGGGGGGGCTTCCGGAGTTGTTTCAGGGCTGTGGGCAGGGTGTCTCTGCTCAGTAGCCTCCTGGTGTCTGATGCTGGGGAGGCGGGGTCCAGGAGCAGCAGGCTCAGGCTGCCGTTCCTCCTCTGCTCCAGACCCACGATGGAGCGGCTGTGGCCTGCAGGGGGAGACAGGTCACAGCTGTGAGGGACAGCCTCAGACCGGTGTCACAGATACCCCATTCACACCAACGGTGTTTCGGGGCCGGTTCGGTGCTGGTGCTTGAAAAGCACCGGGTTTTCCTGTTCACACCGCAGCGGAGCAGCCTCTAATACCCCTTTCACACCAACGGTGTTTCAGGGCCGGTTCGGTGCTGGTGCTTGAAAAGCACCGGGTTTTCCTGTTCACACCGCAGCGGAGCAGCGTCATAGCTCCGGAATCCGGTTCGTTTCGAGCACCAAAAAGTTGTCCGTCTAGAAGCAAGAACCGCATACGTCACGCTTACGTCGGAGGGGGGCGAGATTAACCTGAGCTAACACTTAAGGCGAGTACGGCAAAATACAAGTTGTAACAAGCAGTAGTGCTGAGCAAAGTGACTAGAACGCAACCACACACTTGTTAAAAAAAACACACTTTATAAAGTCAGGCAACACTAACCAGGCTTCGTGTGATTCTGTTTACTTTGACCATCCGTTCGCTGTTATTGATCATTGTGGAGAGCAGGCAGACGTTTTGTTTGTTATTATAGCAGCTATCGGATGGAATCAATACATGGGCTGCACAGGTTGTCATGTCCGACTATCACAAGTAGAATCATAATGAAAAATACGTCGGTAAAAAGTGCCTGTAGAAAACTGCTTAGCAAGTAGTCAGTTTAGCTTCGGTTGCTATGCTAACATCACCCATGTTATACCAGAGAAACTTTCATAACAGCGTTGTGATGCCAAACAGCGTCAATTCAGACTGACACCAAACAGCGTCAATTCAGACTGACACACATTCACTTAAGGGGAACTGGGGATATGTATCAGCTGCTTGTGTGACAGTCAGACAGTGAATACTTTAGAGCCGTGTGAGCTAACCCGGAGCTAACGGGAGAATACACTCCCGTTGAAGAGCAGCCGGCCAGCACTGCAGCGGTCGGTAAATGCCGCTGAAACACATTAATAAACAATGAACCACGGCACTCTGGAGAAAAGTATAAGGTTGGAGAAGTCGTTATTTAATTTAATCTGGCTTCGTATGATTAAAAGCAACGCAGTCCCCGGCCCGTTGTTGTGAGGTGAGCTCCGGCGTTGGGGAGAAACTCAGCGACGTAAACTGTGACGTCATGACGCAGCAGCGGCAGCACCAGTCGGGCTCTGAGCGGTGTGAAAAGAGCCGGCGCTAAACCGAAGAACCGGTTCTGAACCAGAAAAGCTCTAGCACGGAGCTTGAACCGGAGTTGCGTTGGTGTGAAAGGGGCATAAGCTCCGGAATCCGGTTCGTTTCGAGCACCAAAAAGTTGTCCGTCTAGAAGCAAGAACCGCATACGTCACGCTTACGTCGGAGGGGGGCGAGATTAACCTGAGCTAACAGTTAAGGCGAGTACGGCAAATAAAAGTTGTAACAAGCAGTAGTGCTGAGCAAAGTGACTAGAACGCAACCACACACTTGTAAAAAAAAAACACGCTTTATAAAGTCAGGCAACACTAACCAGGCTTCGTGTGATTCTGTTTATTTGTACCTTACTTTGACCATCCGTTCGCTGTTATTGGTCATTGTGGAGAGCAGGCAGACGTTTTGTTTGTTATTATAGCAGCTATCGGATGGAATTAATACATGGGCTGCACAGGTTGTCATGTCCGACTATCACAAGTAGAATCATAATGAAAAATACGTCGGTAAAATGTGCCTGTAGAAAACGGCTTAGCAAGTAGTCAGTTTAGCTTCGGTTGCTATGCTAACATCACCCATGTTATACCAGAGAAACTTTCATAACAGCGTTGTGATGCCAAACAGCGTCAATTCAGACTGACACCAAACAGCGTCAATTCAGACTGACACACATTCACTTAAGGGGAACTGGGGATATGTATCAGCTGCTTGTGTGACAGTCAGACAGTGAATACTTTAGAGCCGTGTGAGCTAACCCGGAGCTAACGGGAGAATACACTCGTGGAAGAGCAGCCGGCACTGCAGCGGTCGGTAAATGCCGCTGAAACACATTAATAAACAATGAACCACGGCACTCTGGAGAAAAGTATAAGGTTGGAGAAGTCGTTATTTAATTTAATCTGGCTTCGTATGATTAAAAGCAACGCAGTCCCCGGCCCGTTGTTGTGAGGTGAGCTCCGTTGGGGAGAAAATCAGCGACGTAAACTGTGACGTCATGACGCAGCAGCGGCAGCACCAGTCGGTCTCTGAGCGGTGTGAAAAGAGCCGGAGCTAAACCGAAGTACCGGTTCCGAACCTGAAAAGCTCTAGCACGGAGCTTGAACCGGAGTTGCGTTGGTGTGAAAGGGGTATCGAGGGGGGAGGGGCACAGTATTGTTTACATTTGGTATAAAGCCTCTTCTGGCTCTGCAGCTTAGGTGCTTGCAAAACGCATAGGATTAACGCAATCGCAAAAAAGCTTCCGTCCACACGCAATATACACCGGATAGTGTCTGTTCACACGAGACAGCTCTGTTTAGCTCCAACTGCTGGAAAAAGCTGCAGTACATATGCCAGCCTGTACGTGGCGCTGTAACTTCCTCCACAAAAGCAGCGAAGAAGAATGGTTGTCATGGTTGCCCTTCTGTTTATTCACCGTGGTGGGGGCCGAGGGAACCGGGCAGAGTTTTCCGCCGGTCAACGTGTGTTAAAGTTTAAATCTTCTGGACAAAATTATAAAAGTGCCGGTCAAAGGTCTTATTTGTTATTTATTGAGCTTTAAAACAAATGAATAACGACTCTATATAATAATAAAATACACGGAGCCTGGCCTCTCTTTTTCCTCTCTTCTGACAGCGTCAGTGTCTGTCTCATGCAGCAGCTGATCCAGTAATGAGTGACCCGACAGTAAAAATACACATATTTATAACTAGTTTAGGTAGTTTGAGAAGTAATTAAAATAGCTAAGGGTGATGATCTGACTTGAAGTGTGTGTTTTGCTCCTCCCGCTGCATCACAGCCGGAGGAGCTGCGTGTCTCCGTCCTGTCAGATTAGACTTCACTCGCGTTTATGTCCATATCGAGATAAAGATAAATAATCTGAATTCAGTGTGCAGTGTACTTTGACGCGGGGGTGAGCAGCAGAGGTGGGGAGAGGCGGGGCTATTGCGTCATCATTATCACAAAATGATCGTATAGAGGCGATTAGGGCCGTGCGATTATGGCAAAAATCATAATCACGATTATTTGGGTCAATAATTGATAATACGATTATTCATTGATTTTGAAAAAATCAATTTATTGAACATTAAAACAAATACAAATAATAATTTGAACAGTATCTTTTTAACTGAACGTATAATTCAACTGAAAAACCAATACAAAAATAAATAAAATGATACATTAAAATAAATAATATCAAAATAATAAATACCAATAAACAAGATCAACAAATATTTTGGAGCGCACTTCCACAAGCTACTAAACATATATAAATATGATAAATACAAATAAATGAGACCAAAATGAATGAGATCAAATATGTTGCAGTGCACTGTCACAACCTAGCAAAGCTAAATAATTGTTTTTTTCGATTATGTTGTTTTCGTAATTGTGGCAGGCCAAAATCGTAATTGCGATTAAAATACGATTAATTGCACAGCCCTAGAGGCGATCACACGGAGCCGTATGACCCCCCAGAGCGCTCCGTTCCCAGATCTATCCACCTTTGGACCCGTTATTGTTTGCGGGGTCCGTTTCTATCGTTTAGTTACGGCCTCGTGTGGCAAAAAGGGCTATACGCAAGAGAAATATGCGGATACAACCCGTTTTCGTTCCCGTGGGGCACCAGCCGGCATCAGGCAGCATCACACAGGTTTACCCCAAGGATGTTTGTGTGAAGCAAGTGATTCGGAAGAATTTTGAGCAGATTATTTCCTGAGAATTCAGCATCCAAAATATTTTATTTTAGGAACTTTTGATAAAATGTTCACTGTATTATATATATATGTTTAGTCAACCGTACAGTAGAGCGGTGCAGTGATGATGCATTTCTGTAGGTCGACCTGTTAGCATTGCAAGGGCTCCCTCCACAAAAGTTGATAACATGTTTATGATACTCAACACGTTACAGTACACCATTCTGTGATTTTTAAATCTTAACTGCTATTGCAGAAGTAAAAAGCTACTGCCATAAACAAACTACATCACGGTCACATGGGTGCACATCACCACGGTTAAGCTAAAGGCGGATAATGTTCGACATGGTGACGTTTGGAAGGGTCAAATGGTCGCAACCGCTGTTTTTAAAGACACATATAAGCTTCGGAAATTCACGAGTGGGGTATTAACAGACGTATTTTATGTTGTACAATAAACGTGAAAAACGTGCTTCTGACCACACGCACGTTAATATATACAGTGCATCCGGAAAGTATTCATACCCCTTCACTTTTTCCACATTTTGTTATGTTACAGCCATATTTCAAAATGGATTAAATGAATTTGTTTTCTCAACATTCGAGACACAATACCCCATAATGACAAAGTGGAAACAGTTTTAAAATAATTGTTGCTAATGAATAAAAAATAAAACACTCAAATATCACATACACATATGTATTCACACCCTTTACTCCAGGGGTTCCCAAAGTGGGGGTCGCGAGATGATTACAAAATGTAAATTTAAAAAAGAAAAATTATCAATTTTTTTGAGGACCACTTAACCAATAAAAAAACACTCACGGACCACCTAACTCCACAAATATCCAAAAACAATAGGCCTGCTCACCACTCCAACAGTACATAACAGCCTAATAACTACAGCTTAACCTTCTCTATATCGCCTCGTTCACACATTAAATCAACAATACAAATACAACTACAGATTATATAAGCATTTAGTTCAAATGAGATTTAAAATGCTCTCAGGTTTTACACCTCTTATGAAATGTAGACTACATTTATTACGGAGTTTATGTCCGAGCCAACAGACTCACAGATCGTTGGCTACTGAGAGAAATGCAAAATACACCGCATGTAGTACGACACAAACCTCCGCTGTGGATTTTCAAAACAAAATACAGTAAAACTTTGGTCGCAGGCCCAAGTTTAACTCTCTGAGGTCTAAGCCCTTTTTTCACATGTTAGGCTCGTCTGGGCTTTTTTTGTAAAAATGCTATTAAAACATGATCCTTGGTGACCATCGGGCTGGCCTGCATGGTCTGCCTACACAACAACAATAAAAAAATGTTTATGCAGCCCCAACAACAGCCTCTGATCATCAACAGACTTCATGCAATGCTTCATTGGATGCATATATTAGATAATAATCTCTCTCTCACTCCTAAAACATCTAAATCTACTTCCAGCATGGATAAATGTTCATAAAATACATCCATTGTTTGTTTTATACGCTTCTCGAAATCCTAAAAAACACATCGTTTTTCTAAAACAGATTACAAATCGCCAGAAAATGGTACAAACAAGTGGCAACATGTGTGACGAAGGTGTTGTGCTGGGCTATATCATGCAATCGAAAGTGAAACTTAAGCTCGCTCCATTGCGGAGATATCCCCTCTGGCTGGGTCACTCGAGGACATTCACAGACTTGTCCTGAAACCACTCCTTTGTTATCGTGGCTGTGTGCTTAGGGTCGTTGTCCTGTTGAAAGGTGAACCTTCTCCCCAGTCTGAGGTCCAGAGCACTCTGGAGCAGGTTTTCATCAAGGATCTCTCTGTACATTGCTGCCTTCATCTTTCCCTTGATCCTGACTAGTCTCCCAGTTCCTGCTGCTGAAAAACCTCCCCACAGCATGAAGCTGCCACCACCATGCTTCACTGTAGGGATGGTGTTGGCCAGGTGATGAGCGGTGCCTGGGTTCCTCCAGACATGATGCTTGGCATTCAGGCCAAAGAGATCCATTTTGGTTTCATCAAACCAGACCATTTGGTTTCTCATGGTCTGAGAGTACTCTAGGTGCTCCATGGGGGCTTTCATGTGCCTTTGGCTTCCTTCTGGCCACTCTACCATAAAGGCCTGATTGGTGGAGTGCTGCACAGATGGTTGTCCTTCTAGAAGGTTCTCCCATCTCCACAGAGGAACACTGGAGCTCTGTCAGAGTGATCATCAGGTTATTGGTCACCTCTCTAACTAAGGCCCTTCTCCCCCATTGTTTGGTTTGGGCAGCAAGCTTTAGGAAGAGCCCTGGTGGTTTCAAACATCTTCCATTTGCAAATAATAATAATTCTGTGCTCGTTGGGACGTTCAATGCTGCAGACATTTTTCTGTACCCTTCCCCAGATCTGTGCCTTGATACAATCCTGTCTCTGAGGTCTACAGACAATTCCTTGGACCTCATGACTTTGTTTGTGATCTGATATGCACTGTCAACTGTGGGACCTCATATAGACAGGTGTGTTCCTTTCCAAGTCATGTCCAATCAATTGAATTTACCACAGGTGGACTCCAGTCAAGTAATAGAAACATCTCAAGGATGATCAGTGGAAACGGGATGCACTTGAGATCAATGTTCAGTGTCAAAGCAAAGGGTGTGAATACTTATGCACATGTGATATTTCATTTTATTATTTTTAACACATTTGCGAAAAAATTTTTAAAAACGTTTTTTATTTGTCATTATGGGGTATTGTGTGGAATGTTGAGAAAAAATAAATAATTTAATCCATTTTGAAATAAGGCTGTAACATAACAAAATGTGAAAAAAGTGAAGGGGTATGAATACTTTCCGGATGCACTGTATAATATAACTAATATCAACTCATTCCTGCACCACTCTATATTGTCGTAATATTGAAATTAGTATTTGATCAGAAATATTGTGATTTGATTTTCTCCACATCGCCAAACCTTATTTATTAGGCTTCTGTTTGACACATTCAGTGATCTCTTTCCCTGAATAGGGAATATGGTGGTGATGGCAGGTGTTTCTGTGTACCTTGGTGCTGCAGGTAGAGCGGGGGCATGGAGGTTTGGATGAGTCGGGGGGGCAGTCTGCCGCTCCTGCTGGACTGGAAATACTGCTTCACCCAGTCAAACAGCCGGGGGTGGCTGTTATCAGGGCCTGTGGGCCGGTGGAAGTCGATGATGCGAGCACTGAAAACACAAACAGTACAAAGTCTTACTGAGTGTGACATTTAGTTTGACTGACCAGCTTAAAAAAGGCTTTGTGTCTGCTTTTCTTGAATTTCACCAATATTCCAGTCACTTGTACCCCTACATACCCCATGCATCCCTTCAAGTACCCCAAGGGGTCCCCGTACCCCCGGTTAGGAACCACTGCTATAATGCATGTTTTTGTGCATACCAATATACCAATGCATGTGTGTATGTGTATTGTGTACTGTACAGTGCGTGATTCATCTTGAAAGGTTCTATTCTTGGTCCTTTTCTTACAATGTAATGTCTCTTACTGTGTCTATGTATGCATCATACGCACCAATGAAAATTCCTTGTATGTGTTAACCTACATGGTAATAAACCTGATTCTGATTGGTACATAGGTGACAGGTGTGGCTACATCATTGTTAGGCTTAAAAGCTAAAAGCATTGAAACAAATAGAGCTGCACTCCAAATAGGGTTTGTTTCCCTAATTTTGACTCATAATTCTGTGTGACTGGCGGAGCCACACACAGTCTAGTATTCAACATACTTATTAGTGCGAATGCTGTTTTGCTGAGATAAGTCCGGCCGTGCGTCACGACTCTTTAAACATCACTGTTGCCGGAAATGCATCCGCGGAGGAGCCGTGGAGGAACCATCAGTGTCTCCTCGATTATAGCTCCTCCAGGAGTTACAGTATTTTACTTAGAAACAATAATGCAGCACAATATTGTCAATACATTCTCTGACAGGCTGTCTCTCGTTCACTGGCAGGGCGTTGCCGTGGAAATGCTTTGATCTTTGAACACACCTGTCGGTCGTTAACTAAATCCAGTGGTAATCTAAAGATGTTCAGAAACGGTGCAGGAATGTGTTACAAGAATCCAAACATGTAATAGATAAACAGTTCAAATAGTCATCTAAAGGTGAGCTAAAATGAATGGATATTCTTTACCTTTACAATGAAACTAATACTATTAATACTTACTCAGCGGTGGTAATGTTAGCATCGGGACACGCACCCAAGTTTCAGTCACACAGTCAACATTTCTCGGAATTGTCTAGTGTTAAGGCCCTGACACACCAAGCAGTCACCAGAGAACTCGCCGACGCCGACTGTTGCGTCGCCGTGTTCTCCTGCGTCTTGGCCGTGTGTCGCACTGGAACACACCGCAAAGACTTCAGCCGAGCACGTACGAACTGCGCATGCGTGAGTGGCAATAACTCTCCTTACCAGCAGACGGCGGTAGTGTGTATTCGTCATTCAAAAGAGGCAACAACCGGAAGACAGAGAAGAAGAACAGACTGCGTGATCTAAACAAACAACAAATAGCGTGTGCGTTCCATTTTCACTCTTGTCCATGGAAAACATGTTTCGTTTCGTGAAAACGGCCGATTTCGGCCTGGTGTGTCAGGGCCTTTACATGTTGCAGCCTGATGTTTTGTGATGTTACACCCTGATTAGACAGCGTGGGGCTCACCTGACTCCTAGAGAGGTGAGGAGGGCGTAGATCTCCGTGGCTCCGATCCAGGCTCGTGTTCCCTGCAGCCGCTGGTTGAAGTGGGACGCGCCGTGCGGATCCAGCCCTTCTTTCCAAGCCTCCTCGATCATACTCTGCACTCGAGGGATACTAGGCACCGCCTTCTCTGGAGGAGAAGGAGAGCGTCAAGTACAAAGTACTAACTGACATGTACAGGCAGCAAACAACCCTGATGAAAGTGTTTTAAAAGGTCCCCTATTATATGGTGTTTCATCAATATATTATAGGTCTCAGATATATACAAACATGTCTCTGAAGTGTTTGGCTCCAAATACCAAACAGATCATTGCAGCATCCCATAATCCCCTCTGTTTCAAAAGTGCTCATTCTCTGTGTGTTACTTTAGATGAAATAAGGAGCCACTCCCCACGCCCCTCTCAGAGATATTTGGTTAAAAATAACACAATTATTACAATAATTAGAGGAATAGCAGGAATGCTTCTTTCACAACTTCGCCGTCTTTGAAATACTTCATGTGTTTCGCAAGAACGTGACTGACACGATAAGATGCTATGGTAGCAGCCTTGCTCTTGTTGTTGGGCCTGGTGAAAATGGACTGCTGTGCATTTAGCTGTCCTTTCAGGTCCCTCACCTTTTGGGAGCGTAGGGCAGAATTAGGAGGGAATCCCGTCTCGTAGCGTTTGTGCACTGTTTTGAAATGCCGCTCCTAAATTACCCTTCTTCGATAAAGCCACGCTCGCATTGCAGATGAGACAGATGGACTTTGAATTGGAATAGATACAAAATTAATCATCCTCCCACTCGGAGTGAAAATTATATATTTTGGGCTTTTTTTGCTTCTGCCATAATTGCGGTCTTGTGTGTGTGCGGACTGTCACTCCTGTTGACACGGACAACGTCAGCGAAATAGTGCCCACTGCCCACCAGCCACGCCCCGACACATGGGGTCACGCCGGCCAATCACAAAGCTTTGATGCGTTCAAGTGCATTATTCTGGCACAGGAAGATTATGTTATAGGACATTAACGATAAAACAGAATATTGTTTTTAGACACATCTCGCGATCGACTGGGAATCTCCCCGCGATCGACCGGTCGATCGCGATCGACTGGTTGGGCACCCCTGCAGGGAACATTCACAACATCATGACTTGCAAAACAAAGAAGTTCTGATGTCTGGTCAGATATTGAGCAGAGTGAGTGTGCACCTTGCAGGAGGGGAGCATATGCATCGATGGTGTGCAGAGAGGAGAGGAGCATCTGGATGTTCCTGTAGCCGCAGCCCCAGCCCGTGTCCCCCGCTGAGGAGCAGAAGTGGTCCGTGTCAGCACTCAGCCACACATGGACACAGTCTCTGGCTTCAGTCTGGTAATATTCAGATAACGCTCTGAGCACACCTAGGCAGACCGAGAAGAAGAAGAAGAAGAAAGTTGAGATCATACTCTGACCAAGCGTAGCATTAATACAGCTGAAAATACACAAAATGAGTAAAAAAGAAGCCCTGATTCTCACTTGATACAGCTGAAAACAGATAAACCAGTGTTTTTCATGTTTTTTCAATGTTAATTGTTGATATAACTAATCAAAAAGACACAGTTCAATGCAAATACAATGCTGTTTTAGTGTTTTTGCGTGAAAGCAACACATTTGTATCATGAATTAAGTAAATAAGACACTGTTGTTGCAGAACAGTTTTGTACCTCTTTAGAAAAGGCTTTTCCCTAAACACAATTTTCGCAAATCTTAAGAATAATTTCAGACTAACTGGACTGGAAACCCTACTTCCATTCACAGCCAGGAAAACTATTTAACTGAAGAGCTGACGAGATTAAGGCTTTTCTGTCTGCAAGAAATCTTTAGACAAATTCAAGGAATGGCAAGAGAAGCAGTGGTTTATATCCAAATGAAGAGCCGACAGGTCTCCCTCACGTCCATGCAACACCCTCACCTTAACCCTAAATAAGTATTTCCAATAAGGGAGAATGCTACTTACAGAGACATTATCTTGAGTTTATATAAAACCAACAGACAGAGTCAAACATGCACACACATACTGTCGAGACGAAAGTCAATATTGAAAGAAAAATAATAATATCTGAGAAAAACGGACGGATAAATAATTATTTGGTAACACTTTATATTAAGGTACACAAATTAACCATCAACTAGTTGTTAATTAACATGCATATTAGCAGTATATTGGCTCTTTATTAGTCATTATAAAACACTTATTAATGCCTTATTCTACATGACCATATTCTACAAGTAATAGGCCATTAGTTGAGAGTTTTTCCTCAATAACGCTCTAATTAGTGCTTATTTATTGCAAGTAAGGACGTTCTTGTTCATGAGTTTTGGTCTTAATATGCTCTGCTCAATATGGGCCTAATAAGGCAGTATTACCACAAGAATAGGGTTTTCTGGGTTGCTTGGTTTCAAGTAGAGAAAGAGTTGTCCAAGCGTCCTCTGTTGCCCTCCAGCCTCTCAAGTTTGGGCAAAACACTGAATACAGGCGAAAACCCGGAAGAACTTGATACATACCCTGAGTTCTGGTCCTGCCATCATCCAGCCCTGAGGCCAGAGACTCCATCATCTCAGCTCTCTTGCAGTGGAACTCTGCGGGGGCCAGAAGCCCCCTGGCCACAGCCTTCTCCATGCTCCTCTCCATCTGTCGGCTGTAGCCCCCTCCTCCGTCCAGACCAAACTGCTTCTGCACCACAAGCACCAGAACACAAGCGTCAGATATACACACAACACAAGGACATCAAGAGAGGGAAAATATGAAGCTGGCTGTGGAAGCAGAGCTATTGATCATCCAATGACTAGCAGGAGGTGCTTTCATTATGAAAGGTATACCTCAGCTCCAGTAAGTTCTTACTAAATTGTTAGTGTGTGTGTTTGAAAGTAAATGGTCAACGATGCCATATAGAGTGGGTCAGGAATGAGTCCTAAAACCCGGAAATGAGTTAGCATTTTACAACCTTCGGATCAACCTTTGCTAGTTGGCATTTTTTAAAACATATTTTAGCCTGAAATAAGGTCTGTGATTAGCACAAACATAAGAGATTTTCACTTTTTGATCTACTGCATAAAATAAAGTCAGTACCTCACTGGTGAATATCCGAAGCTTCTATGTGTCATAAAGACAAATGTGTTAAGTATCATAAACATGTGTTGGCTCAGCTTATTTTTTACATTATACCGAAATCCAATGGAAAAATCCAATTGCCTTTGTCAAGGGAGCCCTTGTGATGCTAACGTACAGGTCAGCCTACAGAACTAGCTCATTACTGCACCACTCCTTGGGTTGTTCAAAAGTATTACAATTATAAACTTCACATCGAGTGTTTGACAAGGCAGTAAACCACAGCCGTAAAATAAAACGTAAACCTCAGAGTGGAAAGTGAAAGCTCCGACATAACTGTGTTATGGACAGGGGCTGAAACTCTTGTGTGCATTACCTTCTAGTATCAATGGGGTGAGGTATGCTGCCTGGAGTTTTCATCTCAACTTGGTATATCATTTCTTAGAAATCCTAAATCCTTATCCTAACATACATAGAGAACCAACTCCGATTAAAACAAGTATTTGTTTTTGTTCTCATTAAATCTGAATCGCACCACACTCACATGGAAGGATTTAGCTGAAATGACTATCACATGCTGTCAAAATAAAATGTATTGACTCTGAATCAAAAGCTGGGAGCAATTTGGAATTTAAGATATAGATGACGTAATGTGCTGTGGGTCGAGTGTTTTGTGCTTCCCGTCCAACAACAACTAATTATTATTCCTCCAGCTCATCGAGGTGCTTAAAGTGTACTTATGGCTTTTAAACAAAAATTATTCTAGCATCCAAAGACAGATGGTATTTCGACTCCAAAAGACTTCTCACCAACAGTAACAAAGTATTCTCCCCGTTTGGATCATTTGACCACTGTATTCTTGTCCTCCTGTGCACATTGAAGTGCTGGAGTTTCAACTTGTGAAAATATATATTAAAACATTCTTAAATTGGAATTAGAGATGTCTGTGGGTGTTTATACAATTCTAAAGATAAACTGACACACAAACACTGAGCAGGGATCATTAGTCCATCTATAGTTTAAAGAAGAAATATCCTGCTCATTTGTATGTAGTGTCTCTACTATGACATGTCTCTATGCTTTAATGTTCAAAAAGCTCTTTATTTACACCCAATATAAATGTTGACTATCAAATTGATGCTGGAAGTTTCTAATGTACATTTGAAAGTCAGAAATGTACTAAATGCACAAATGCAGCAGTGATTTGCTGAAGCACAGTATCCAGACCTGCAGCTTCTTGAAGTCCTCTCTCTCCTGCCGGGCCTCGTCCTCCCGCTGCAGCTCCCGGGCCAGCCTCAGGTCCGAGCCAGGGCTGTGAGCAGCGGCTGAGAGAAGAAGAAGAAGAAGAGGAGTGGGCATCACATCAGACAGGACCGAGGAAGACAATGACTTTTAAAGTGCAATAGAGAGAAGTGTGGGACTGGTGTAGCAGGGAGAGATGAACGCCCACCTGCTGAGTTCACAGCAGCGCCATGCTCTAAATGTAGCTCCACATGTTCCTGCAGTGAGGAGCTGTCCATGCAGACCACAGAGCACAGAGGGCACTCAAATCTCTTCTCTCCTGCCAAAACAATGGCACACCATGTAAGCCCAGATATCAAAAACTTTATTTATACAACCGAGACATCCATTATAAAATTAAAGAAGCCCAATTTTGCTTTTCTCTTCTCCTCTTTCCCTTTCCTGTAGTGTTTCTCTCAGTGAATTGTAAACAACTACGTGGGTTAAATGATTAGCAAATTAAATGTGCATTGTAACTTGGCTGTCCATGAGAGTCATGCACAGGCTTGGGGAGTAACAGATTACATGTAACGGAATTAGGTAATAAGGATACATAAAAAGGTAACTGTAAACCCTTAGTTCCATAAAAAAAAGACAATCAGATTACTGTTACATTTTTTTTTTAAATGTTGATTACTAGCAGGATTACAATGTTACTCAAAACCTAAAAAGATCATATAGTGTTTGTTGTAAAGGATCAGATGTTATCTCTTCTCTGTAAACTGTACTGTAGGCTAATATTTTTTTTTTACAGGTAACTAGTAATTGTAATGGCATACATTTTGTAAGTAACGATCCCAACTCTGCCCTTACTCCAACTCAGCCTTCGTCATGATCTCAGCTACACACCAGCAAAGTTTTGTGACGCCAAATCTTGGAAATTGCTTAACATTTTGTGACTGGATCTAATAAGGTTTTAGTGGTAGGCAAAAAAACTCTCCACAGTCACACACACTCACAAGGAGAAATCTAAACCAGCGTCACTGTTGCAGCTGGTAGAAATACTGTGCCATGTGAGCTGAAAACAGTCAGAGGGGAGGACACACACCTGAGAGACGGAGGGCTGATGGTGACGTCATGGCTGGTGAACACGCCTCCTGTGCTGACCCTGCACAAACAAGCAGTCATGAGTAAAAGATACATCATGTACAATCATAGGATGTCTTCGAACTGAAGGTATTTAATGAATATTAACTGTTTATCGTCCGTCACATTGTTTAGTTATACAACAGCAAATGCAATTTTTTTGGATTACAGCTCTTACTTAATTACGTTTAGCTTTACTATTATTACTACCAAATGTCCTGTTGTTCTGATTCTGGCTGGAGAGAGTTAATCCACAGCGGTTACATATCCTTCAAAACGAGCCACAGCGAGTGTGTCACAGGTGCACTTCGAGACATAGCACTACACCCCTGACAGCGCTCCGTGGTTATGTAGGCTTGAATTTCGAAATAAGGATTTTGATAAAATATAAATCTACATGCTTGCTAATGTCTTCCTTAATCAATTGTTTTTAAGCTCAATAATAAATTCAGCTAATATTTGACGTATTTCCCATTTGTCCGGTAAATTGAATTTTACATTTCTTTCTGAATGTAAAACTGGTCTCTTCCCAGTGAGCTCTCAAGAGTTTCAGAGTGATCTATATGGCAGCACAGAGCCTGAATCACACTAAGTCTGGTTAGTGTTGCCTGACTTTATAAAGTGTGTTTTTTTAAATAAAAATGAACTGTTCAGGTTAATCTCGCCCCCCTCCGACGTAAGCGTGACGTATTGGTTCTTGGCCGAGTGGGGCCGGCCCTGGAACCGGTTTGGTGGAAAAGGGCACTAGTCTAAAGTTACCTCCAGCTGAGTGCTGCTCCTGCAGGTGGAGCTCTACATGCTCCTGCAGCATCTCACAGCTGTTGCACACCTGAGGACACATGGGGCACGAGAACAGCTCCTCTGAAACAAAGACAGGACAATTCAAGTTGATTTGTGACTTTAAAGTTTAGCAAATAAAGTTTCGAAAAGTTGAATCACCCTCTCTCTTTGAAGACAGCCGCTTCTGTTTGGCTTTGCTGTGCTCAGATTTAAATCCCTTATTGTCCTTATTAGAGAGCGCCACAGCCTTTTGCCTTCTTCTAGGGCTCTGAATTGTTGCGGTCTCCCCAGTTGATGAAGCCCGACTCTTGGATGTAATGTCTTGTTTATGGCAGTCTATAGTGTCACTACAGTGTGTTGCCTCAGCATCTGTATCACAGCTGTCCTGAGCCCAGCAGGAGGGAGGGGTTTTGTGGCTCTGAGTGTTAGCTGCAGCAGAGCGGCCTGCAGGGGGTGTGATGTGAGGGGGGTCCTGCGCTCCGAGCTGCGTCTCTGGATGTGCAGAGCTGATGTGGAACCTCAGCTCGTCGTAGGACACTCCTGACAGGGAGCAGAGCGGGCAGCGAGAGGCATTCTCCATGTGGCTGAGAAGGAGATGTGTCTTCATGTCCTCCTCTAACATCATCTCTTCCCCACAGAAGGCACAGGTCAGCATGGCTGCGGACTACACACGAACACACATTACTTTTATTTTCATTTGGAATGGCTTGTAATTACACCTCTACATAATTGTTTCAGAAGTATAGAAAAGTGCCAAGAACTGAAAACAAATACTTTTTGAGCCTTATCTGAATTAAAATGTCATAAACCTCCTTAAAATATTATGAATGTTTTGAGTGTGTATATTATTAAGTCAAAGCTGCTGTACTGCTGTTTACTTTAGGAGAGCATGAAGCACTGTGAACTTGTGGAACCATATAGAAAAAGGAGAAGTTGGTCAGGATTCCTGTCATTGTAAGGAGTGAATATTATCGGTTGGTCTTTGAAGCTGCTGCTGGTCAGGGGAAAACCAGAGTCTGAAACTTGTCAGAGGAGACATGTCTGCAGTCCTCCAGCACTATATTAGTATCTGCTATACAAAGCCATTAAAACTAGCTGCACCTTTACCAGCTTTGATAACACTTTAATGCATCGATAATTATAATCAAAACATATAATTATTATTATTATAAGATTTTTATTCTGAAATGGACCAATCTGCACAATGACTACTTTGACTTTGGGTACTTTAAGTATATTTTGACGCTAATAGTTTTGTACTTTTACTTGAGTGACAACAGAGTATCTATTCCTACACTCAATATACACAATTATAAGATCTGAGTACTTCTCCCATCTCTGGAGGAACATTATCAGAGCTTTTAAACACATATGGACGCTTTGTGATAACGGTGTCACAGCTATTTATAGCCTATACACAGACGCTGGGTCTCATGTAAGTTGATGTTGATTGATTGATTGATTGAAAAGTTTATTAACAGCTTGTATATTGGGTACAGTACAGTACAGCTCAAAACATACAATTGTTAAGGGGATGCAGACCAGAGAAAGACTTTCGTCTTGTTTACATCAGGGTCCCCCATTTCCAATTCATCATAAACATGTGACAGTGTCACACGGTGAATACTGACATTTCAACGCCTTAACTTGTAGTGCTTTTCGCTAAACTGAACATCTACTCACGGTCGCTGCAGTGAGCTCAATATTCAGAGTTAGAAATAGCTCTCCTCTCTTCTGTTTCAAAAGCAGCTCAAGGCGCCATCTTTTAACGTCCTTCTTTGAAGTGTATTGGCGGTTGGCAACCAACGATAGGAGCATTACTGCCACCGTGTGGACTGGGGTGTGGAGTGGTACATTGCCCGGGAAGAAAACAATTAAAAACAATACTAAATTCTCTTTATACTTGTAGTTGCTCACTTGCACTTAAACACATGTTTTACCGACTGAATGCTTGCTCTGATGATCTCCCTAGCGAATTTCTCAAAGTCAAGCTGAGTTTTTCATCAGTTTAACCTTAACCTTCTTCTCTTGTCATCAGTTGCAATATTAAAACACGTTTGACAGTTTCTGGTTTAATGCAGTGTGTAGGCCTACATAGTCCAGTGCCTATTCTGTGGAGTGTTTGATTTAGTCCTGATTGTCCTATTCTTAAATGTTTAATGCCCTTCTCTTTCCTTGGGCTCCTGTAAACATGTCTTCCTGTGTCAGTGATGTCCCAGTATTCTTGCCAAGTTGCGTATATATAATCTTTTATAATAGGCCTAGTTTTAACCATCGCTTTACTTAAAGTGGACCTATCATGCTATATTTGAATAATATAGTGTAGGACCATACCTATATAAGGCACATTTATACTTTTTTCTTTTCAAAATACCAAACAGATCATGCATTTTAGCCATGCCTCATTTCGCTCAATTTGCACTTTTTTTTAGCTCTGCTCTGCAAGGGCAGATTCAGTGAGAACAGCACCATCTACTGGCCTGGCATATGTACTACAGCGTCTCCAGCGCTTTCGAACGGCAATGGCCGTGGCTGTCTCCTCCTGATTGGTGGAGTTGGCCCAATAGCCGTAGCGCCACTGTCCTGACGTCAGGACAGTGTTCAAATCTGGATCAGTTTTTATCAGATCCATTGCAGCCCCTTTTTTAGAGATTTGGGTATGGAGGAAAATAGAGAGGGTTGTGTTTTCTGACACTTGGTGAGTTCCCTGGAACACCGGGGACACATATTCATGATGATGCAATACAAGTGGTTAGTGCAAGATGTATGGGCTTAGATTTGTCTCATAAATATTTGTGTGAACATAACAATATTTTGTGTGTAAATATGTGATTTGTAAATGTAAAACACCATCCACAAATGCATTTAAAAGATTTGCAAACTCACAAATAAATTTGCAAATGTAAAACGGATCTGCAAATAGGCTACGCTAAATATTTTCACAAATAAAAAAAAGTTCTGTGAATATCTCTTTAACATTGACAACTTTCGATCAGGCATTTGTAAATCCATTTTGTATTTTTCAACCAAAAATGCGCTTGTGGATCTCAAATCTCTGCTTGTGGATCTCAAATCTCTGCTTGTGGATCGTCTTTTTTCACACATGGAGTTTTGAGACAAACTTCCCGCCGGTCTCGGCTAAAATCTGCTAGTGTCACTCGGTTATTTTAGGAAACCACGTGATGGCCTGCTGATGACGACATTTCCGCATGGTTTCAAAGTAAGACCATGATGATTTGTTTAATGCACTGTTTTTGTATTATAATGAACAGCGGAACGTTAGATGCATTCTTTATCACCATCATCATCATGTTATAGTGATACAGTTAGTTTGTGTTAGTTTATTTGTTCAATACAGCATCGAGCACATCCGTATGCATTGATGTTGAAGTAGGCTACTTAGGCTACGCCACTTTCGGGTCCCGGGGAGCTACAGAGATAACTCTTTCTTTCTTCATTGTTTTTTGTGTATTCATTCAAGCGGGTCAAAGTTACAAAGAACTTCACATTTTATTAATCGGCCTAGTTTTACCTTACCAGTGCAGTGGTAACTATCTGTCTATCTATCTATCTGTCTATCTGTCTGAAAAAAGTATAAACATAATAACATTAAATACAAATAAAAGCAATAGACAGGAATAAATGCATATACAGTAGAAAGGACACGATGAATATTATAGCATTTAATGTAGCCTTACCCGCACTCTCTTTTTTTAGAGATGTGGGTATGGAGGAAAAGAGAGAGGGTTTTGTTTTCTGACACTTTGTGAGTTCCCTGACCCACCGGGGACACATATTCATGTATAAAAGACATACAAAAGTGCATTTTGCATGATAGGTCCCCTTTAAATATCCAAGTTTGTCCTTGCCTTGAAAGTAGCATTACCTGCTACATCTAGCAAATATTCCTGAGGTTAAAGCTAACATTAGCATTGATTTGCAACCCTGTTACTTTAAAGAGTAACAGGGTTGCATTACAATAACATTAATTAACTTTGTATGTATTGCCACTGGATAGCCTAAGCATGTTTAGGTTGAGTTAGGGTTAGGCGTTAACCCTAACTACTAACCATTTAGTAGTTGGAATTATTAACTCAAAATTAACTTAAATGTGTTTAAATCATGGTTAGATCAAGAGGTTAATAGACATTTTTTTTATTGATTTCGACAGAGTTCTAGCACACCATTGAGTGCTGCTGAAAAGCAAAGGTGCTATCGTGCCAGGCGTGATGCTAATGATCAGCAGAGACAGGAATACTTAGGAAAAGAGAGAGAGAAGTGGAGGAAAGATGTAGAGACAGGAAAGAAGAAAAGGCAAAAAGACAGAAGTGAGAGAGAGCAGCGTGCCCAGCGAAATAAATGGAGAGAGCAGAGGAGTAATGCCATGGAAAAGGTACTTTCCATGGCATAATAATAAATAAACCCCCCCCCCAGTCAGCCCTGATCCTCCAGTTGACCCTCAACCTGGGACCTTAAAGTCAGGACATTTATAAGTTGAGGTTATTGAGGAATGCAAGTTTAACTGTGAAAAGGTCCATGCAGGTGAAATGGTCAAGTGACAATACACTTATGTTTATGTTTTATGTTTCTTTTAGGCAACGTGATCTTGGAAGAAGGAATAGGAAGGCTACCAAAGCAAAAATAAACAGAGAATTTCAGAAACTACAGGACAAGTTGAAAAAAGCCGAACAGAAGACAGAAAAATACAAGAAACGCCTCCAAAGACTGAAAATGATATATATATATTAGGGCTGTCAAGTTAACGCGTTAATAACGCGTTAACGCAAAAAAAAAATTAACGCCACTAATTATTTTAACGCGATTAACGCATGTGTATTTTTTGTCCTCGGCCGCCGTAGTTTCAGAGCGCATCGAGTTTAAAATACCATCTACAAGCTGATGCTGACAGCCCCCGCTCCTGCTGCCCGCTTGTGGCAGACCACACTTCCACGCTCACCGGCAGGCCCGGACTGGCCATCGGGAGGACCGGGAGGGTGTGTGTATGTGTGGCGCGAGCGAAACACACCTTACGTGTTGTTGTTAGCATCTGGTGCTAGCTAGCTGAGCTAACGGATATAAGGAGCTGTTTCAATGAAAACAGAGGAGCGACATTTCGCCGACAACTGCGCCGAGCACTTGACTTTATGCAGGTAGCCAGACAGCACACTCAGCACGGATAGTGTGCGCAACACAGCTCATACACACAGGCATATATGCCTTGAGCTGCACATAGCTTCAACGATCCATCACAGTGTCTCCACATTCTCACACACACACACACACACACACACACACACACACACACACACACACACACACACACACACACACACACACACACACACACACACACACACACACACACACAGTATTGTATTATTGTATGAGAGAGGTTCTAGGTTGAATTGAGGCGAATATTTGTAATGTTCAGAGGTTGTTGTGTTTAATATTCATGAGAATATTTGTCATTGTTCAAATGATAATAAACAAACATATAAAGCATATTTGTCCACTCATATGTTGATAAGAGTATTAAAAACACATTTAGAACAGATAAAAAATGTGCGATTAATTTGCGATTAATCGCGATTAACTATGGACAATCATGCGATTAATCGCGATTAAATATTTTAATCGACTGACAGCCCTAATATATATATATATATAGCTCCGGAAAATATTAAGAGAACACTCCACATTTTTCTTGAATCTCAATCTCTACACGTATGGCAGCCATTAAATTCCAGTATCTGTTGAATCAAATAAAAACATGTTAAGTTTACTCAAACACATACCTATAAATAGTAAAACCAGAAAATCTCTGATGGATCAATGACATTTTATGAATCTTTTTTTTTGTCAGTGAATCAGACGGTGTACGTTGAGTTCAGGATGGTGATGTAGAGAAAGATACTAGAAAGATTTTAAGAGGACAACACTTTTGCTTACATACCGCAGGCTGGTATCTGTTCAGTCTGTTCACGGAGGCAAACTGTCTTTCATGAATGAATGAAACATTGTCTCCAGGTGATACTTCATAGACATTTTGCTGCACACTATAAATTAATCGTTCAACATTTTGATGAAGCAAACGTATTTGTCTTTAGTAGAGAGGATTGATATCACTCCCATGTCTGTATGATCAATATGAGAGCTACTTTCAGAAGATGGTTAGCTTAGCTTAGCAAAAGGATTGTAAACACGTCAAAAAACGTGATGTTTTTTTGTTGAAGTATGTCATTTATTGGCCCCCTGGACTCATAAGCACAGAAATAGACCAGTGCTGGAGTGGTGAAATATCCCTCAGACATAAACATAACATGCAGGGCAACCATAATGCTAATGCGGCCCAAGATGAAATTGAGTTTGACACCCCTGCATAGGTCCATTTCATTTATCCTAACTTGCATCCATGTTTCTCTCTCTTGAGGAATCCAAGCAGAGAGAGATGAAGCAAGAACATGTGTTTTAAGCCCAATGAGACGTCCTTTCCTCGAAGCGTCACTTTAACCGTCTTCCGTTGGTGATGACAGCGGCAGAGACTTCTGATGGAGTTTGTGTTTGCAGACATGTTCACTGTTCTATTACCGATAAAAGGCACACAGTTATCACTGCCAGAGCAGCAGCAGTGTGTTACCTGTTTCACACACACCTGCACATTAATAACACCCTGCTCTCTTAGTTATTCTCTGTACCGTGTCCTGCTGAGCGGCACAGGACCTTTCCACCGGCAGAATGCCTTTTATCATTAGTTATTTACGTGTATATTTATTAATAGCCTGAATTTTTTGAAATCA